GCGTGGCATGGAGTCGATCAGTCTGTGGCACTGCTCAGGTGTTATGATAGCCCAGGTTGCTCTAATAGTGGCTTTTAGCTCTTCTGAATTGTTGGGTCTGGTGTATTGCATCTTCTTCTTCACAATACCCCATAGATTTTCTATGGGGTTAAGGTCAGGAGAGTTTGCTGGCCAATTAAGAACAGGGATACCATGGTCCTTCAACCAGGTACTGGTAGCTTTGGCACTGTGTGCAGGTGCCAAGTCCTGTTGGAAAATGAAATCTGCATCTCCAAAAAGTTGGTCAGCTGCAGGAAGCATGAAGTGCTCTAAAACTTCCTGGTATGTGGCTGCGTTGACCCTGGACCTCAGAAAACACAATGGACCAACACCAGCAGATGACATGGCACCCCAAACCATCACTGACTGTGGAAACTTTACACTGGACTTCAAGCAACGTGGATGAAGTGCCTCTCTTCTTTTCCTCCAGACTCTGGGACCTTGATTTCCAAAGGAAATGCAAAATTTACTTTCATCAGAGAACATGACTTTGGACCACTCACCAGCAGTCCAGTCCTGTTTCTCTTTAGCCCAGGCAAGACGCTTCTGACGCTGTCTGTGGTTCAAGAGTGGCTTGACACAAGGAATGCGACAGCAGAAACCCATGTCTTTCATACGTCTGTGTGTGGTGGTTCTTGAAGCACTCACTCCAGCTGCAGTCCACTCTTTGTGAATCTCCCCCACATTTTTGAATGGGTTTTGTTTCACAATCCTCTCCAGGGTGCGGTTATCTCTCTTGCTTGTACACTTTTTTCGACCACATCTTTTCCTTCCCTTCGCCTCTCTATTAATGTGCTTGGACACTGAGCTCTGTGAACAGCCAGCCTCTTTAGCGATGACCTTTTGTGTCTTGCCCTCCTTGTGCAAGGTGTCGATGGTCGTCTTTTGGACAACTGTCAAGTCAGCAGTCTTCCCCATGATTGTGTAGCCTATAGAACTAGACTGAAAGACCATTTAAAGGCTTTTGCAGGTGGTTTGAGTTAATTAGCTGATTAGAGTGTGGCACCAGGGGCCATCAATTTTGAACCTTTTCACAATATTCTAATTTTCTGATACGATGAATTTGAGATTTTCATTTGTTGTCATTTGTAATCATCAAAATTAAACAAAATAAACATCTGAAATATATGAGTTTGTATGTAATGTATGAATATAATATACAAGTTTCACTTTTTAAATGGAATTACTGAAATCAATCTACTTTTTCATGATATTCTAATTTTATGACCAGCACCTGTAGTTCATATGAATGTCATCAGTATATAAACGAAATCCAGTATCCTATATTCCAGAGGTCATGGATTAGAGGACCGCGGTTAATATGGTAAAGCCCTCCAGAGCGTTGGGCACCAGGCTACACGTTATACAAATTAGCCCATGAGCCGCTGTCAGTCTGGGTTGCTGCTGCTGCTGCTGCTACTTTTAGACACAGCAGGCAAACCTGTGGCAAGCCGGGCGATGGGAAAGAAGGAGAAGATGATGAGAAAAAGAGAGCAGAGAAAGTGTGGACTGCTGGAAGAACTGTGGTGAACTAGTGAAAGAAAAGTGAAATGGTGCTCAAAGATGACCCTGAACATTTAGAGGATGTTTGGCTCAACCTGCTGCTGTGAATTCTCCACCATGAACAGAATCAAAAATAAATATAGATCCAGGCTCAAAATGAGCACCGTGATATGTGCTTGAGAATGGCTTTGTCTCCATTCAAACCCAGGTTTAAAGCCTTGCAGGGCAGAATAAAGCCCACTGCTCTCATTAAGCCAGAAAAAAGAAAGAAAGAAAACAGAAAAAGAAAGGTTAGTTCAGGTGTTTAATAAAAGATGTGAATCAGGAAATTGTCTATTTACCGAAATGAAGGATTGTTGTTCTCTACTTCAAAAAACACTTTATATTTTAAAATGGAAAATGTTTGATTTTTATTTTTTATATTTTTATTTTATTTTAAAAGTCAATGTGTAACATGGATGCATAAAAACCAAATTTTATTTCAGTGTTAAATTATGTTTAAATTAACAGATTATAATAAAAAATGTCTCTGGACCTTTACTGGTTGATGATTGTCTTTATTTGGACCCTGCTGATTTGGTTACCTCTGCTTTATTCTAAAGTTGAACCTAAAAACAAAATACAAATCACAACTAAAAACAAATTTGCCCCAGTATAGATCCCTGAGGAACTCCACAAGTGAGAGGAACGAAAGAAGAAACCGATTCTCCCAGACTCACTGAGAAAAGCCGTACAGAATAATAAGACCTGACATAGTCTTTCACAATGCCTATGACACCACAATGCTCCATTCGAGAGATTAGGAAGCTGAGGTCAACAGGGTCAGGCTGCTTTCAAACCAAGAAGCAAGAGAACGACTCCTCCTGAGTAAACAGCTAATAGGTTCCAGCACTTTGAGGAGCTTTAACACTAGACTCCCTTAAATAATACTATGACATAGCAAATATCCACCTTATTACAAAGAAATCATAGTTTCCAATCCTAATAGGACATCCCTTAAAAAAAAAAAAAGAATAAAGAGACTCTAAGAAGCAGAACGGGAAATGATCCCACTGAAGTAAAAGTTTCCTGCACTCCTCTCGTCCATCTCTCCCTGCAGAAGCACAGGAGCTCCAGTCTTGGCATCAATCACCAGCAGGGAAGATATGCAATCTCTCTGTGCAAACAATTAAGGGCAGCTCCTCTGCACTCAGAGCTACTCACTCGTGTTGGGGCACTGCTGATTAACACAATGTGCTTACACATTAGCTTGGGAGTCACACACACCAATGGCATTCCTTTTGCCAAACGAAAGCAATAAAGCGTAGTTTGGAGCTACCTGCCGCCTGAACTGTTGTCTTTAATGTTACCTTTGAACTTGGCCTCTGAGGTCATAGTTTTAACTTGACTTTGATAACAAAAATAGCTAATGATTTCATTTAAATAATTTTTGCTATAAATAGGAATTATATCAATTTTCCCCCCTCTTTTTTCTTGATTTTACAAATCTTGGCAATTTTTTTTATTTAAAAATAATTAGTTTAAATGAAGCCTTTTACTCTGACAATGTTAGAAAAAGCTGTGGAAGAGAAACAGTCCCGCAGCATAACAGATCCTCCACAATACCTGCTTTGCTTTTGTAAAAATGCTTTTAAACATTCATATTTTGCTTTGACCCGACACACCTGAAGAGTTTCCTAAATCTCAACCTTCAACTCATTTAAACCAGAAGCACAGCTCCATTTAAAGCTTCAATAGCTTTTTCTCAAACTTCAGGCAGTTATGTTTGGGAAGAAAACACAAAAGGATTTTTACAAGTTCATAATCTGGTGAATCGTCATAAATCATAGTGAAGCGTTCCTTTTTCAGCAGCTTAAACCCATAGAAGTGATTGACACTGCCTCGTTCTTAACAAGCGGACCAAAAGTAAACATGTAGCAACCAGGAAGTGTGACGGTGAGCAATGTAACCCTTTGACATCTCACAAGAATCTTAACATAGTCCATATTTGCCTTTCATAAGGGCACCATTATGCATACCGCTGATCGATGTTGCACAACTCTCAGGAATTCAGCCAGGCAAACAGAAAAGAAAAAAAACAATGTGCAGTTGTGAACTCTTCAAAGATTATAAAAAGGATTGTATCAGAGTCTCAGGTCCCCAAAGGAAAAAAAAGAAAGAAAAGAAAATGAGTGGAATGTCTTGAGTGATGGGAAAACAACCAGTTTCCTTCACAAACCTTTGGCCGGGCCTCTACAACATTCACCTTGAGACTCTGTTTCCACTCTAAAGAAAAGAAAAGAATCTAAAACGACACCATTGATAATTCACAGCCTGCACACAGAAACAGTTCCTCTGCGCTCTGAATAATCCCTACACAGCTGGATTGAAACTGCACTAAATCTCTGGATGTGCCAACATGCAAGTCAAGAGCAAAGAGAGATAGTAACAGAAAAGCAGCATTGTAGAAGTAATGTTAAGTGTGGTAGCAGCTGCGATGAGCACAACTGTCTAAACTATAACTCTAAAATAAATACACTATTTTCTAAAGTTCTAGCAAAAAACAGTTGGAAAGAGACTGAGATTGTGAAACAGACTAGATTAAGTTCATTTCTTTAGCGGGAAAAATATTTTATCAAGGTTCATTAAATCTTTTCAAATCTGGTTGAACCAGATCCAAAAGATCTCACAATCCCAATCAGCTCTGAAATGAAATGTATCAAACTTACTGATGCCCTTAAAATGTGAGGTCTTCACAGTTTGTGTCGAATATAATCCTTGCTTTTAAAAACTAGAGAAATTTATTACTTCTCTCTCCACAACCAATAACTAAAATGTAGTAAATTTGGAAAGAAAATGCCTAAAACCGGTCCATCTTTCAGTAACATGTAAATAACCCAGTCCTTCTTTCTACTGTAGACAAGCCATGATCTGCTTCTCTGTTCTCCATTTTTTATTTGGATGAAATAATAGCTGCATGAATCATGACAGCAGACAAGATAGAGGAGAGCAGGAGGCGGGGTTATCAATCTATTTGCTCAGGAGGGCAGAGTTTGGTGCTTTTATATGTTGTCGCCAACGGCTCCAGTAGCAGAAAAAAAGTCGCTTTTTTGAAATCTAAGTGCTAGAGGGGTCTAAAAAGTTGCTAAAAATCAACATTTTTTTACGGTATTAAAAACATAATTAATGTGAACAAATAAGTGATAGCTGTATTAACCATACATGTAAAAGGGGTTTTATGGGAACTTGGGGCCCTGGGCAACTGCCTAGCTTTGCCTAAAGGTAAATCCCCCCCTGGTCGAGGTAGTTAATAATACCAAACCATTGAACGCTAAAGAGGTATTAGAGAAAATAGGATTATCCCGCCATAATAGCATCACCACCCCAAAGAAAACATAAATACACAAGGACCTTAAGTTCTATTCATATAAGAGAGATCCAACTATTTTGTTAATCAAGGACAAAAGTGCATTTCTCACCTCCAATACTGGTCCGGCTCCCAGGATAATTTGCTCCACTCCACTAGCAAAGCCCTTCTGACTGAGGGCAGTCAGATGATGAATGAGAAAGTTTGTGCTTTGAGTCTTGCCAGAGCCGCTCTCCCCAGATATGACAATGCACTGATTCCTCTGTCTCCTCAGCATGGTGTGGTAAGCCACGTCCGCCACAGCGTAAATATGCGGCTCCAAGTCTCCCAGCGTGTGATTGTCATACATCTTTACATACTTGGGGTTGTAGATTGGCAGGAACTTGAAGGGGTTGATGACAATGAGGATGCTTCCAACGTAAGTGTAGATCTTTTCCTGTCGGAACCGTAAGCGCAGGTTGTCCAGCAGCGAGTGCTCGTTGAGCTCCGGCAGGCAGCACAGATCGGCGTGGTCGCCCTGAGAATGGGGCTGTGGCAGAAGCCCGCGTTCCACCATGCGTCTTCTCTCCTCCGTCACCTGCAGCCACATCTGGAGGCTGTTTTCATAGTGGATAGAGCCATCCAGATTCTTCTGCCTCAGGAGGAAGCGGTAATCCTCGCCACCAGATAACGGGCGGTGCTCTAAAGCCACCCGGGGCCAGAGCATCATCCTCTGAACGGGACAGTCGTTGGGGTTCAGAATCCATTCTTCCCCACCGAACTCCTTCACCTCAGCTAAAACGTAACACTTGGTTCGGTCCAACTGCAGCCGGTCAATAACGCGCTCAATGGCCTCGTGAGCTGTGGTGGTTTTGCGGGCACTGATTGGACAGTAGATGGTACCCTCGGCGAGGGCGCCTGGGTAGATGCGCACCGTTAACTCGGAGTTCTCAAAGCGATGCCGTCGGCCCAGGGTGCCCATGCCAACACCACCAACGCCATCGCGAGCACTCATGGCGCAGCAGGAGCTCCCATTAGAGGGAGCAGCCCTGTACTGGCACGTCCTTCACTGGACTGGTGAGGTCATTACTTCAAGACATTACCACTGCAAAAGAGAAGAAAAAAAGAAAGGATCAGTAACAATCAGTACAAAAGATCTTCTATTAAAACATACACCAGTTTCAACATCTGTAAAATGAATTAACTTGTTTAAACTGCTTTACAGTCAGGGATTTCTGCACAGCCCACTCACACCCACCAGGTTACGAAATGTACCAGATTATGACACGAGACCCTCATGGGTTGTTACGTAATCTGCTAAAGCGTTGTAACTTTTTTTTTTTTGCAGTAACCCTACATGCAAACTCACACTGGATAAAGGATAAGTCATCAGGCGCTGCGGGATAACCATTAACACTCATACCCGCTGCAAACGCTCACATAACCTCCTCACAGATCCCAACAGCAGCAGCTGCCATCCTCTGTGCTCTTCACACAATCATACTATTCAAAAGTTCCTGCTTTAACGCCGGGTGACGGGGCACCGAGGGAGAGCAGGGGGTCACAGAGAGAGATGAGAAGAGGCGAGGCTAAATTAAAGCATCCAAGCTGCTAAGAGGATCTCTACCACTCTGATTTATTTCTAATCATCACACTGGAGATGGTTCACCCTCATAAATGTTGCAAACAACACCACAGTTAAGAGACAAAATAGTTTTTAACACTGAAACTCTTTCAAATGGTGGCAACATTTTCACACTGGATAACAAAAGGCTGTAAATTACTGCAACACTGTGAAGATTAAAGTCCTCAAAGTGTTAAAAAACGAAATATTTGAAGCTATTTTGAGAGGCTTTGACCTTTAGTGAATGAAGTACTATATTTATATAGAATAATCTCCCCCTTTTCTATTTCTTTAAACTATAATGTTGTAGATTAAAAAACAACAGCAAAATTTCTCGTTTTTTTGAATGAGTCATTGTTCCCATTTTTTGTTCTTTCAAGGTTTGCTGTGCAAGTTATAAAGAAGCTGGATTGATCTCAAAGATAACCCCCTCACCTCCTTAATGCAACTATCACAACCACCTAAACAGCTCCTTCTGATCTTATCTTTTGTCATATTTTTTAATAAGCTTAGAACCACTGCAAGCCTTATAAGTTTCAACACAGTTTAATTCAGCCATTCCTCCTGGTCTGGACTTTGTTTCATGTGTCCTTTGAGACACCAATGGACCGCCACAGTATATAAGCTTTCCATCCTTCCATAATTTTCCACATGGCGGACTTGCAGTTTATCCCAGGACTAGATGGGGCATATGGTCCCTCTAAAGGGTTCTAAAGTGGGGTCTCTTCTCGATAGCGCATGCCTACAAAAAGCACCAAAGAGAGGGCCCAAATCAACCTGCAAAGACTCCTTTAACTCCAGAGGAGCTCCACTTCTCGCCACATGAAGCTCCTCGCATCAATTGCTAGGATGAAAAGCGAAGTTATATTGCAATCAATGACACAAAACACTGCAGTAAGACGCTTGTTTTTCATTAATTTTGGTTCATTTTCATCTCTTTGTTTTACAATTACATAATAGAGTACCAGTGCCAGTTTTTTGCTTTTCCAAATGAGTCCCATTCACAATTTAAAATAAATTATTTTTGCTTAGTGCACCAATTCTGAAAGTACGGAAGAGGATTAGGGCCACTGAAAAAAAAAAAAAGTTAACTGATTTTTTTTTTTTTAAATTCAGTTTAGTACGGAAAAAAGTCAGAATTCTGACTTTAATCTCAGAATTCTGACTTTTTTCTCAGAATTCTGACTTTAAACTCAGAATTCTGACTTTTTTCTCAGAATTCTGACTTTAATCTCAGAATTCTGACTTTTTTTTCTCAGAATTCTGACTTTTTTCTCAGAATTCTGACTTGAAACTCAGAATTCTGACTTTTTTCTCAGAATTCTGACTTTAATCTCAGAATTCTGACTTTAATCTCAGAATTCTGACTTTTTTCTCAGAATTCTGACTTTTTTCTCAGAATTCTGACTTTTTTTATTGTCAGAATTCTGAGATTAAAGTCAGAATTCTGAGATTAAAGTCAGAATTCTGTGATTAAAGTCAGAATTCTGAGATTAAAGTCAGAATTCTGTGATTAAAGTCAGAATTCTGAGATTAAAGTCAGAATTCTGTGATTAAAGTCAGAATTCTGAGATTAAAGTCAGAATTCTGAGATTAAAGTCAGAATTCTGTGATTAAAGTCAGAATTCTGTGATTAAAGTCAGAATTCTGTGATTAAAGTCAGAATTCTGAGAAAAAAGTCAGAATTCTGACTTTAATCTCAGAATTCTGAGAAAAAAGTCAGAATTCTGAGATTAAAGTCAGAATTCTGAGAAAAAAGTCAGAATTCTGACATTAAAGTCAGAATTCTGACTTTTTTCCCATACTATACTGAAAAAAAAAATAAATAAAAATCAGTTACTTTTTTTTTTTCAGTGGCCCTAATCCTCTTCCGTACTGAAAGGCTGAGGGACACAATGGTATTTTGTTTCAGTACTTGATAACCAGGCATTTCAAAAGGTTCAAGGAATGAAGATACCATCCTGTCGTGTTAAGGCTGCTCCACAAAAACTGATACTTTTTTGTTCTCAAGGTTGCAATGTGTGTTTTGCCTCCATACTTCTCATACTCAATAAGTAGCTCAGCAGCTGAAGTCTGCCGAACATGTCACTGAAGATCGATGGAGAGCCAGCGGGGGAGGGGGGGCACAGAGAGCGGGTCGACTAGCACAGGGCAGGCAGAGAGCAGAAAGTAGAGGAGCGGAGAGAAATAAGAGCTCAGTGTGCTCTGGTGCTATTTGCAAAGAGTGCAGAGCCCAGGGGAGTGTGGTGCTACAGAGGTGGGACTGCCCCACTGGGATCAATGATAGAGGAAATGCTGCAACGGCGCTGAAGTAGCAGGTTTAACTGCTTAAGCCACCACATTTAAACTGCATGACTAGGGCTGAACGATTTTGCCAAAAATTTAAATTGTGATAATTTTTAATAATAAAAAAATTAAAAATAACGCAGCGAGTGAAATGCCCTTTGGATAAAAAAAAAAAAATAAAAAAAAACTAAAAATAATTAAAACATACTGTTTATATGGACATAAGTAACCAGAATAAAATGGCAGAGTTGACTAAGAGTGTGTCAAGTAGACAACATGCCTATTGGAATATTCAAATAAGACAAGAGCATTGATGCTTGAGTCCTGGAAGGTTCTGAGTACAAGTCCCACACACTCCCACATACTGCCGCTCTGGGACCCTGAGCAAGACCCTTAACCCCACACTGCTCCCTGGGCACCAACAGTGGCAGAACACTGGATGGGTTAAATGCAGAGCATGAATTTCCCCATTGCGGGACAATAAACAATTTAAATAACAGCTACCCAGAGGAATTAGCTACTAAAGTGAAAATATGGACCATTGAAACAGTGTGGACATGCAACCTGGTAATCTCGCCTCAATAATTTGATCTTGACCAGCATTTCCATGGATTACGTCCAGATTATCAATTTTAGATTATCAATCGAGTTAAAATCAAGAGCCCTACACAAAATACAGCTTCAATTAATATACGTTTTTTTTTTTATTATTACAGTTTCTCTTTAAGTCAAAATGTATTCTCCATTACAGTTTTTGATTTTTTGCTAGTTTTAATAACTATTATAACTCTGGTTCACAGAGAGGAGTAAGCATGGAAAAGCCAAAGCTGCACCCTGTCAGCCTGCATCCAGCCTGCCAGGCGTTAGCTCAGTAACTCTGATACAACTCACATCTCAATAAAATTCTGCATAAAAGAAGGTTCCTAATTATAAATGCAGAAAAATAAAAACAAAGAAAGAAATGTCTTTTTTTTATATATATAATGGCATAAAGTATTTTTATATAAGCAAAGTAAACTGAAGGGTGTAGAAAGGGCTTCTGTCATCCTGGTTAAGCTTTTAGTTTGCGTCTGCAACCGTGAGAGCATGTTTTAAGCAGCAAGTTGTGACCTGCTGTCCTGAACAGATGGTCAGCTCACTACTTAACGGAGAGGGAGGGGGGGATTTAGGATTGTGTCAGTGCTAGATGGCACAGGGCATGCTAACTGAAGTTATATTCCTTCAGGCAAGAACCCAAATAAATGCTCAACCGATCTCTGCAGTCTGCACCCCCATCCCATCTATCACTGAGAAAGTTTAAGAATGTGAAACTTAAATGAATCATATAGTAGTAAGCTGTTGGCTTTACTGGAAAGAGCTGTAAGGTTGCTTCCAGAAAGGTACAGAGGCATGGAAAAAATAAACTTTCACTGAAAACAGGAACATCTACTTTAAAACACCTTTAAAATCACACGTTTGTATGTCAAATAATTACCAAACAAATCTAAAAGCAAATATGAAACCAAATGTATAAGTTTAATAAAAATGACAAAATTCTTTCAAAAACCAGCTTTGATTTCAATTGTCCTTGCTACGATTACCACAACAATGCAACAATATTGTAAAACAATCATTTTTTATGACAAACTATGAAAACACTAAATGTTTGCAGATGGTGATTTTATGTTGAGCTAGTTTATCAATTATGAGTACATTTCTAAAGGGGAAAATGTGATGAACTAATGTCACTCTGAGTTATCGAGGCTCAGAATCCAGATTTTCCACACAAAAAAATTTTAAATATAGGATAAATCAATCCAATTGATTAATAGACTAAACAGAAGTAGAGATGTCTGTTGTGATGAACAGATGACGTTTGGAGAAAAAGCAACTTCAGCACAAACATCTAATCCTCAATCTATCAAGTAAGGTGGTGAAGGGATGGTGATTGGGGCTCGTTTTTAAAGCAACCAGATCAGAGCAACTCGCAGTCAATAAGTCAACCATAACTCCATCGGCATTCCAAAATCACAGGCCCACTGAGAGCTAAATCTGGGTCATTGGCCCCATTTTTCAGTTTTCCTTCAGGTTTGATTGGAAAAATTTAATTCTGGTTGATTGCAGATTTCCTTTAATAATAATAATAATGCATAACTGCTTTTTTACATATACCGCTACATTAACAATAAGACTGCAACTATGGATTATTTTACAAA